TTGCCCTCAGCCGTATATCGATAACGTATAAATATTGATCAGAAGACGGACGTTGTACTATTTCTCCAATCTGATAGTGCCGTGCGTGCTCATCGCCTCAATGGCAGTGCTGGGGTTCACGCTGCCGCCGGACAGCGGTGAAAAGCTCAGCCTAGGTAAACAGCCGCCTGCCGCGCCAGCAGTGTGTTGCTCGCTCCTCGGAGGATGTCAGAAATGACAACCCCGGAGGATCTCAGAGGTGACGTTGCCGGAGGATGTCACAGCGCCTGGGACACGACGGCTCTCAGTAGCAGCGCCAGACGGCCCGCACCGCCCAGTGCTCTCGGTGCGATGTCCGCCGAATTTTCGAGCCAAATTGGGTTCATCTTGACCCGCATGCGGCGGCCACCCCGATCTCATGAAAGGCGCTCTGACATCTTGCCGGTGGACTCGCTGTGTATGAGCCGCATGTTCACGGGTGCGGATGTTGCAGGGATCCCAGGCCAGCGCAATGAGATCTCGTACGCCTGTTGTCCTGAGACCTACATCGACATCACGTACACTGTCCAGATCCGGCGGCGCACGCTCTATTACCTGCACAACCTGGTCCTGCCCGGCATCCTCATATCCACCATGGTGCTGCTGGCCTTTACCCTGCCGCCGGACTCCGGGGAGAAGCTGACTCTAGGTAGGCAGGTGGGGGGCTGCGCCGGCCCCACCGGCGGCCCGCCGGCTCCTCGCCGCGGCGTCAGCTGCTCTGTCGCTGGCGCGCCGCGCCCGGCTTGCGCTCATGGTCGGCCCGGCCAGCTCAGCTCGTTACGGTCGGCTCTCGGCTCGCAGCTATTGACGTTCCGCGGAGGCAGCGGCCGGCAGCGCCCGCGATGTGTAGGACACGCGGCCGCGTGGTCCGGACGCACCACTCGCTCCTCCGGGTGAACCGGGCGAAGCCGAGCAAATCGTGGCACGGCCATTAAAAGCGGCCGATAATTCAGGCTCCGTTTGAATTGATTCACCCGCGCAATGTGAGGGATAACTCGTCATATGAACATAGCTCTTCAGCCATCACACGGCTCTCGTTGCTGTTGACTCTGATTGTGTTTGTTGTCGTGTGGGCTGCTCTAAGATAGTCATTTAGCAGCACATTAAAATATACATGGCACAGCAACGAGGCACCCCGTCCATGTTTAAGCATTCCAATAACCCTGAAAATGGAGATGAGACATATATGAGCTGGCCGGAGCTGACCATGAGGTTAACGTAGTTACAAACGCTTCTCAAAACCATAACATATTCGCAACGATTGTATTGCATTTACTGACCAAAGGTCATTGCTAGCATGCGCACTTTGCGCATATAGTACATAAACGCTCAAGTAACGGGTGTGCATTTTGACCTATGCATAACTCAACTCAAACATGAGCACAGGAGGTCACTTAAACGGTCTTTGAGTTTGTGTTTTCTGCATCTGTGGACGTTATACCTCCATCGCCGAGGCGGCTGTTTCGTCTGCCAGTTGTGGCACACCGCTACTCAATGTCATACCTGGGAGCCTTCCTCTCACCTGACCCTGGATATCATCAGGTAACCACTGCGTGCATGCCTGGGGTGCAGTCTCTCTCTCTGATGCATATATCAATGCGTATGAAAATATGCTCTTCTCTGAAGTGCTACTATCGGTCGTTGAGATGAACACCACTTCAGCCTGTCACTCATTGCGTGCGTTCCTTGGCTAACACTGGAATGTATTCACGTGTTCCAGGCCGGGAACTGACGCTGATCCCGTTCAGACCCTGTGTTAGACATGTTCACCCTCCCCCCCCCCCCCCCGACACCGCCACAAACCGCCCATGTCCGCTAGTGTACCGCACGCGTTCCCCCTCCCCTACCCCCACAACCACCGCTTTTGTACGTCCGCTCTTCGCCTAGGCTGTCACCTGTTCTTTGGGTTTGGCTCCCTTGGCTCGGTCGGCCGTTTCTGCTTAGTTCGCTCGCCGGTGGCCGCTTGTGACGTTTCAGGCCGCTCGGGGCCGCGTTTGGTTCGCTCGCCGGTGGCCGCTTGTGACGCTTCTGGCCGCTCGGGGCCGCGTTTGGTTCGCTCGCACCTCGCTGCTTGTGCCAGTGCCGCCTCCGGCCTCTCGCCAGGTGCTCTGTTTGAGCTGGGAGCCGGGCACCACCAGGCAGATAACCGTCTTCTCTCCCGCCAGGCGTCACAGTGCTACTATCTCTGACAGTATTTCTGAACCAAGTCGCTGCAAATATGCCAGAGACCTCTGAGGCTGTGCCCCTACTAGGTAACCTACTAAACCTACTAAACCCACTGCCCCTACTAGGTGGGGCGGAGCTCGTCCAGCATTCAGGGCTCCGACCGATCACTCACCGCGCTAGACTCTGCTCGAATCGATGTGCTAATTGCCGTCAAATAAATCACCAAAAACTGATTTCACGCCCACCCCCGGTGAAATAAATCACGCTACCTAAATTCGTGCCTGCTTTGCTGTCCGCTTTCCGTTCCTGTATACGTTTGCACGCTCTACTCGGTGTGTCCTCCCCGGCGTCGCCTTGGCTTCTGTCCCGCCCGTGCCGGCCAGGTCGTCTCGCACTCGTCTCTCACCCGCCAGTGGCTTCTCTTTCAGAGTGGTGTCTCGAGGCCAGGGCCTGCGCGGAGCCGCCCGCCCGTCTCATCCTCCGCTCCACGCCAGTGCTTCCACTCACTGTTTCCTTTCCTGTTTTAGGTGTTACCATTTTACTATCGCTCACTGTCTTTCTAAATATGGTGGCCGAGAGTATGCCCACTACATCCGACGCTGTCCCACTTATAGGTAAAAACCTCTGTAGACAGCCCTGACACAAACCTTTATTGCGCCAGAGGGGACACCACAAAATTCTCGCTCAAAATTCCTCGGCGAAGGGAGGTATGACGCACAGTGATACGCACTGGCCTTCACTAGTCGTCTACACTGTGTTTCTTTGTGATTTCAGGAGTCACGATTCTACTTTCCCTGACCGTGTTCCACAATCTAGTCGCTGAGACTCTCCCGCAAGTGTCAGATGCAATGCCTGTATTAGGTAGAGAGCCTGCGCCGCCCCGCGCGGCGTGCGCGACGTGTGCGCACCTGTCTGTCGCAGTGGTGCTGCTGAACTCGCTGTGGCCAGGTGTCACCCTGCTGTAGATACATCGATGTGATCTCACTGTGCAACGCTCACCACGACCTCTGCTCTACTCGCAGTGCCCCGCCCTTCTACTCTGTCCCTTAGACCGAGCGTGCAGTTGTGCATCATTTTAGCTTTCGCCCTGGTCACTGCATGTCTTCTCCAGTCGTGTTGCACTGTCTCATTCCAAAGCGGCCGGACCGGCAATCGCAGGAGGGCGGGCCTGACCTGAGCCGTCTCGTTTTGCAGGAGCAGTAATCCCCCGCTCTCTGTCGTTTCGTTTGTGGTAACCGCCGCCTCGCTCAGCGTGCTCGGACGCTAGACCGGTCGTAGGGCAGCAGAACGGTCGCCTGCATGCGATGGTGAGAATGCCACCCGCACCTGGCTTGACTACATCATACCAGCTGCCATGCTCAGGACGCGTTCCACCCCGAACGCACGCCTACCAAACACGGCGCCAAGTGTCCCCGCCTCCACACTACAGGAAAACACCGCCCACATGTGACCTTATTCGTTCCTTAGCAATAATGCGTTTAGGGGGAAGCATATTTTGCCGAGATTAACTCCCGGTATGGAAGGACATGCCTACCCAGGGCCCCGGGGACGCTGGGGCCCACCATGCATCCCGCCTGCATCTCCAAACGAGTTCCGCGGAGCGCTCGTGTCTCGCTGTCGCTTATCCGGCCATATTTTACCGCGATATTTCCCGAAACTCTGACTTATGTTCCGATGTGACAGAATCATCTCGTACTCTTGCAGCGCTATAAATTTACCCCGGCTGGCACACAATGCCACGAACTTGCCTGAAGAGGGACTGAGATTGGCTCCAAATTTATGTATCCAAGAGCAACGGAGAGAAACCACGTCGGACCCATTTTCTTTGGATGCGCTCCCAAGGTAGCCCTGGCCATGTTTTGATGGCGATTTTGCTTTTTAACAACTTGCTGCGTTTTTCCTTGCTAGCACCCTTCATATAAGAGAGCTCACTCCAGAAATGAGCGTCTCCCTGGTTTGTCGAGTTACACGGGATAAGTCAAATTTAAATGTAATCTCAAGAAGGTGAGTGGTCGTTGGAGATTTTAATTGGATCGAATTGCAAGCATTTTAGACTGTTTCATTAAGATCGTAGATGAAGTCCATTTCATGTTGAACGGATTTCGACATGTGCGTGTTCAGCAGGCAACGAATATGGGTAATGTGATATAATTCCCAAAGGTAAACATCTTAGCGATAACTAGATGGCTACAAATATCGGCACAACTGTTCCAAAATGACCTGTATGCCACTGATGTGGAGAGTTGTTAATAGATGAGCCGAAACGCTTAAGTCACTTCAGTGGGATAAAATAATTGTTTACCCAGAATTTTGATTCGGCCTGATTATCGACTAAAAATGGCCTTGCTTTGACTCAGAGTCGTCTGCTATGAACAGTATACCGAGCAAATTTCATTGAAATAAACCGATAAAAGAACTAACAGAATGCATGCAGACGCAGAACGCAGGTTTTGAGCTGCGTTCGAGGCATGCATAATTAAGCCTACTCTGGCTAGCTGCTACAGCTCTCTGATGTGTACAGAATGATGGCATAATACTGATGAAACGCAATTCGGTCATGGGATGACATACTGAATACCACGCGACACTGGTCCTTCTACCAGCCACTCGCTCAGCACAAAATGCTTTTTGCATGGCTATCTTGAGGAACTTGATGAACCATTTTCCTTGAAAACAAAACGTTGGACTTGTTCATCGGCACAGGCTCATCACAAGTGTTGCGAAAATTCATGCTTCTTGAACCAGGCAAAAAATTGTCTGATTTGCATATTTAACCCTAACACAATAAGAACGGCAATATCGTCACTTTTGGCACCTTGTATTCAGTTGATCTGCTGTGACGTGGTGGCCAACTGCACTGCGATGCTTGAAGGTGGCATCAGAAATGCTACCATCCTAGAAAAAACTGTCATCTAGAGGTGCTCACGGGCAAAGTAATCTTTACCCAATCCACACCCTACCCATGGTGCTGTGCCCATATCCACACCCTACCCATGTAGCTGTGCTCATATCCATACGCTACCCATGGAGCTGTGCCCATGTCCACTCACTACCCATGGCGCTGAGCCCATACACTACCCATGCTTATCAGTTCCACCCACCCTTTACTCACCTGTTTGCATTTGCCAGCACTCTAGTCTAGGTTTCTGATGGGTTTCGGGTAAGCTTGCGACCAAACTTTTGTCTTGTGTTAATCATTGAAAAGCAACGCGAATGAAGGTAAACGTATATTTTGTAACCCAAGCAGTTGAGTAGTTGAGTGAACACTGCTTTTATCGTCCAAGGAGCTCTGTGCTGAAGCGAAAACGTCGTAGGGTTGTTATGCATTAAATAATGAAAGATTGGGGAATTTAAACTGGCTTAGAAGCGCTGAGTTTACCCAGCTTTTGAGGCACTGAACCAAAACACCGATTTTTTAGTTGGCCGTTCGATCCCAACACGCCTGGAGCGTTCCACTGTTGTTTGCTCACGCTTTAAAGTTCAGAGTCGGGACATATTCTGTAGATGTTGTCTGAACTGGCAAGCGCCGATGCGGGTATGCTTCGGCACATTTAATCTTCGGCGGCGTAATATAAGTCTGCATTACGATGCACTAACAAAGGATGCGCAAAAGAAATTGCACGACAGATTGCGCGAATATGACGTTTTAGCCTCTTAGAAACAAACAGAAATGAAGACGTGTCCTCCTCGTTGAACTGCTCCACCACTATTTTGGTGATCATCTCTAACATGCGTGACCCATGCCTTCCATCCGGTCGCCTGGTCAGATTCTGTTGCGCAGCCGAATAACAGCCGCACGAAACTCCGCCAACCAATAGGAGCCTCATTTCGCTCGGCCGAAGTTCGTATCCGGAATATGCGCGCGCTTCAGCCGCAAATCAAGCGGCGAATAGCGAATGTCTGCTTCTGAAACTCCTTAAATAACTGAGATCACGGAGATGAGGCCGGCCGTCGCGCTGGGAGGCGAGCCGGTTCTCCGGCCGTAGGCGTGTCTCGTCTGGCTGGACATCCCCAAGCCAGGACGAAAGGCTTTCGCTCCGAGTGGGCGGAAGAGCCACGTGTTTGACGGCGGCAGGCAATGTCTCCTACCAGCACGACTTGGCTCACGAGGCAAAATTGCGCTGACCATGCGCCATTTATTCACTTCGGAGGCGGAGGTGCTTTACGGAAGTCCCATATCTTGGTCTGAGCCGGTTTGGGAGGAAGCCGTCCGCTGGCCTATGGTGGTTTGGGAGGGTCCATCTCCCGGTCCGAGTTGGCCTTGGACGCTTGTCTCCGGACCAGAGCAGACTTGACAAGTCGCTCCACACGACACCCTCAGCGTCAGCTCAGCCACCAGACGCCAGACCAGCCGTTGTCCATAACTCAGTCAGGCCGGCGGGCCCGCGACCGAACTTGGATCTTTACATCCCAATCCAGCTCGTCTTCAGAGAAACCTTACGACCCCGGAGATGAACCGCCTCACGGTCCGTGCCGGACAGTTTGCACTGAATGCCGGTACCTCGGGGTCGGCCCTCATATGTTCGCGATGCCTACATCCCGCTGCAAATGCCAAACCGAAACTCACAAAGTTCTGCAACGCGCGCGGCCCACTGCACAGCAAACTCAGCCGCCTCGTGTCCAGTAGGGCACGGATCACGTATTTCGGCTGCTAGTCCGCGTAATCCATAATGCATGCTCTATTTGTGCCATGCCCAGCTTCATGTTGCATGGAAGCATGGCCGGATCCGCTGCGCGTCCTCAGCGCGGCTGCCCGCGGCTGCTTTTGCGCTTCCCCTGTAGCTGTAGATGAGTGGATCACTGTCCGGTAACAGGCAATGTATCTGATGTGCGCATAAAAACTAAAACAGCTGGTCACAAGTGCGCCGCCAACCTTCCCTGCTTACCCTCCCCCTTCCCCCCCTTCATTCGTATTCTCTCTCCTCTCCTCTCGCTTTCGTACCTCTGTTTCTGTATCTCTCTTATCTCTCCCTGCTCTCTTTCTGCTCACTCCTGTTTCTCTCTGCCTTCTGGGCTCTTCTCTATTTCCCCCCCCCCCCTCTCTCTTCTCTCTCTCTTCTCTCTCTCTCTCTCTCTCTCTCTCTCTCTCTCTCTCTATCTCTCTCTCCTCTCTCTCTCTCTCCTCTCTCTCTCTCTCCTCTCTTCCTCTTCTCTCTCTCTCTTCTCTCTCTCTCTCTCTCTCTCTCCCTCTCTCTCTCTCCTCTCTGTGTGTCGCCGCATGAACAGCGGCGGTTTCTTTAATAATCACATGCTTCTTGCATCGGCAAGAAGCCCCCGCTACATGACAACCCTGCCACAAATGTCCAGTATCGGAGCGACGGATGTCACACTAGCGCGTGCGCACTTGTGGCTAGCTTAAACGTGGCGGACTAACGTGAACCCGAACCGGTCTGGGTGATAAGACAATGGGGACATGGCTCCTAGTAAGCCAGTCACTATACAATCCTACAGTCCTGTGGTTGTCCCCTCTACCGCGTCAAAACTCTTCCATTACTACGCAATGTTCATTTGATGGAACTTTTACAGTCACTTTCTAATGTTTGTTGCCAGTTGAGAGATCCCTTTTTAAGATGGTTATTCTATGTAAACGGTGCTTAAAATATGCATGCATTAAACCGGAGATCTAAATAAAGGGAATTGCGTTTACACGTAATTCCTTTAAAATGTTAAATTCGAGCTAAAAATAGATTATAAGATGACAAGCCTGACTGCTAATGCATGGCTCATGTCATTCAGATGTTTGAAGCATGCATATTTAACCCTGTCGCTCTTCCCATAAAACGCCATTGCTATATCCACTGTACTTCTTGAGCCCAAACTGCGTGTACTTCTCTCACTTCGTCAGATATATTCGCTTGAATTCATAATACAAGTATGACGATGATGTCTTCACATTTAACGGGCAATACGTGAACTTCTTTGTGCCCCTCACTCAGTGCTCATCTCAAACGTGCCATGTTTTTCTTGGTGCTGTCTTTGTGTCATCTTGCATGTTTCTGTAATAACAAAAAATGGGGGGTATTATCCGCAAAGAAAAGCCTGCCTAGCGTGCATATACCCGGGCCAGTCCACAATGTCACACGCGGGGTCACAGGTCAGGCCCTCGCGGGGTCCACAGGTCAGGTCCTCGCGGGGTCCACAGGTCAGGTGCGTGCGGGGTCCACAGGTCATATCCATGCGGGTCCATAGGTCAGGTCCATACGTAGTCCACAGGTTAGGTCCATGCGAGGGCCCATAGTCAGATCCATACGCAGTCCACAGGTCAGGTCCATGGGGGGTCCATAGGTCAGGTCCATGCGGGTCCGCAGGTCAGGTCCATGCAGGGTCCACAGGTCAGGCCCATGCACTGCGGTTATGAATTGGAATGTGCTCAACAGTGAATGAAGGGATAAAGTATTCCGCACATGATCTTCTGCTAGCCGTTGCGACCATTGATAATTCGCTGAGATAGTAATTGCAGCAATAGCTGCGTTGTGCAACTGTACATGAGCAGGCGTCTCTTTGTTGGAGCTCGTCACAGGGCTCCGGCTTGGCGTCCGACTCTGTCATAGCTACTGTAATCGCAGTGGGTTTCAAAGAAAAAGGAAACAATTTGGAAAACGATGCGTCATCGTCTGCCTCTACTTATTCAGGGACCGGTTTCAAAGTTTCGGGCAAAGTTTCGTACCTGTGCTCTTCAAGGCTTAGAGACGGAAAGTGTCCTGCAGCCACTCAGAGGAGTTGGTTAAAGGTGTGAAAACATGCTGTTGCTTGCCGCAGGGTGGTTAGGATGCCTCTCACAGTAACAGCAAGCCCCAACATCCTTCTTGGAACAGCATACCTCACGGCACATTTCTGATCCCGTGCCCCATGGTCAAGCATAGGGGAAATTCTAATCCTTTCGTTGATTACGACAAGGCAAAATACGTCTACAGCACATCGCAACAGAAAAATGCCCTCATGTTGGCACTGCCTCGTACGCCGGGACAAAACTACGGTTCACTCATGGGGATGCAAACTTCTAGCTGATATAGGGTATCGATTTTCTGACATAAAAGCAAAACCTTGTTACGGCTCACTCCTCTGACAGCAGACTGGCTCTCCGCTATCGGCAAGCGCAACAGATTAGCGTCCATCCTATTGGTAGTTTGCATTGCAACACATAGGGATTTCTTGGCCTCTGCACTAACATTGTGAACGCATATGAATGGGGAATGGGTAGCATAAATGTGGGGTATTTTTGAGTAGCAAATGAATTTAAACAGTATCCAAGCAAGAAAACATGGCACGTGAATGACTGCGTGGGGTATTTCAGTTGTCTTCATGCCCCACCCGGAAACCATCATTTCGTGCTGCTAACGCCATCTGTGTTGCTAGGGACGTACTTTAACTGCATAATGTTCATGGTGGCGTCATCGGTGGTGAGCACTGTTCTCATCCTGAATTACCATCATCGGTCTGGCGAGACCCACGAAATGGCACCCTGGGTAAGTTAAAAACACACACACACACACACTTTCCTTACTCGGGTACCCATGCCACCATGCTATAAGCCCAGCAGTGACACACGCACACCCTGTACCTACGGTTCCGCGTTTTGTACCACTGGTCATTATGTGGTATCGGTTTGCTCCGCGATCCACCTCTTTGAAACTTGCAGGGAGCTTTTCTTTCAGAGGGCTCCATTTCTATTTCAATCTAGCTGTCTGAAATGTAGGATTCTTGTTCACTTTGGTAAATACAGATTTCAGACGGTTTCGCGCACATAAATGTTAAATTAACACGCGCTCAGGTAGGGGGTCAAACCGATCCCCCCTCCGAAAGTTTTTCCAAAATGAGTTCCGATGCTTTCCTAGGAAACAAAAATATTGAATGAGCAAATTGTGCGGAGCTAAGGTCAGATATGAAGGTCAGACCAAGGTCGAAACCAACCTGTTTTATTCTCAAGGGCTTGCTGTATAGGAGAGCTTCTGGTGCTCATTTCAAATTTATTGATAGCAGGAACCGCTTTATACATCCTCCAGGAGCTTTTTGAAGGCTACCATAGGTCATTGACCTAGTACAGCGCAAGTCAACATTTTGTTTTTGGACATGTTGCGTAGCGCTGCCTGTCGCTTATTTAAACGTAAAACTCAGGGCAGTCTTGCATGATTTTGGTCACCATGACCTTTAAAAGGTCAAACAAGGTCTTTGACCTTAGATGATGATGTGACCTTTTGCTTAGAAACAGTTAACTAGGTTCTGGGGGCACTTTGGAGACCAACCTGAAATTTGACCTTGTTTGATCTTCTTTAACCCGAAGTTCATCACCTAGGGACCTTAAACTTTTCCCTAAGTGAGGTCACGTACAGTTCAATACACCCTGCAAATTTGGTGTTTCTAGCTTTTTTGGTTCCCGAGATCTCATGAGGGTCAAATTGCCCCCCCCCCCCCCCACCCACCCACATGAGTGAAGGGTATCTAGCCGGCCACCCGCACGTGTGTTAAGTTTCTGCTACGTGTTTGGAGAGTCAGAGGTACAGGGTCTGATTCCTTGTGGTGTCCGGCCTTCCTACCAGGGTGAAAGACACGCGACACCATTAAGCCTCAGCATCTGAGTGCGTCGTGAAGTCCCCAATGGTCACAACAACAAATTGGGTTCGGGGAGCTCCCATAGTTTGAGGTGGTAGCTGTCTTGTTTTCATCGTCAGTCAAGCTCATTGGCTGTCGTGTTTTCCGTGCAGTGCCGTCGTATAGCTACGCTTGCAGAGGTTAGTTTGGCGCCGACCTGACAGGCGGCTGGGCGGCACGCTCGCTCCTGAGTGCAGACACCGCTAGGGTGTGTGAGGCGAACATCCCGTCAGCTTTGGGGGAGACTGCACATTTGCGTGTGCTTTGTCCATATCAGTTATCATCACAGTGGGCGGGCTCCCAGTCAACCTGAGTCTGGACTCCAACAACACTTACTGTGGAACCGGACCCCTACGACTGGCCTGCCGCTGCTCCCTCCTGACCCGGTCCGTGGCGTCGCCACCAGGTGCGGAGCGTGTTCCTGCAGTGGATGCCGTGGCTGCTGCGCATGTCACGGCCGGGCGAAAAGATCACGCGCAAGAACATCATCATGAACAACAAGATGAAGGAGCTGGAGCTGAAAGAGCGCTCCTCTAAGTCGCTCCTGGCCAACGTGTTGGACATGGATGACGACTTTCGGGGCCTGGCGCCGGCGCCGCTCTCGCTGGCCGCCAACAGCGCCGCCTACACGCGGCTGCCGCCCGGCCAGTCGGTCGACGACCTGGCAGCGCCCGGCTGCATGGCAGGCTGTGCACGTGAGCTGCACCTGATCCTGCGCGAGCTGCGCACCGTCACCGACCGGCTGCGCCAGGAGGACGACGAGGCGGTCGTCACCAGCGACTGGAAGTTCGCCGCCATGGTGGTAGACCGCCTGTGCTTGATCGTGTTCACGCTGTTCACTGTGGTGGCGACGGTGGCCGTGCTGCTGTCGGCGCCGCACATCATCGTGCCGTGACGTCAGCGCGCGCTGCGACACGTCAGCGTGACGTCAGCGTGACGTCAGCGTGACGACAGCGTGACGCTGTTAGGCGACAGCGGACGCGCGCCTCGCCGACAGTGCTGTCTGCTCAAGGCCGGCGGCGCGCCGGCCGTCATCGCCACCTGACAATACTGACGGCAATACTCGATCCCGTCTTGTTACCCTGTAGCTCCAGCCATCCCGTCTCCATCTCTGCCCTTCTTCCCGGCCAGGCCAGTCGAGTCGGTATTTTTAGCATTACGGGTAGTCGGGTGCGAGTGATCCCCGGCCTCACCACGTCGGAGCCAAATTACAGTGGGGTGTAAGGCAGTAGAGTCTCGTGCGCTCGAGCAGTTCGAGGAGCGGGCGCGCTAGCCCGTGCAAGCCTGCTCCCCATGTCTAGACCAGCGTGTTTCTGTGATTCTTCATCGGTATTCACCAGCTGAGACGCTGTGTCGGAGCCGCGCCGCCCTTTGCTGGAATCCTTGCCTTCTGTGATGCTTTGTTTCCATTCATATCGATTCAGACAATGACATAGGCTGGAGCGCGTTTTACGACGCGACGCAGGCGCGCGATAGCACATGTTTATCGCGGTCTGTGCAGCCCTGTTTGATATTGATCATGAGACCTGCCGGTGGCGTACTTGTCAGATATTTATACCGAGCCTTGTCGCTTTCATGCTAGGAGGTATAGTTGGGCTCATTTCAGTGACCGTTCTTCCGAGTATATCAGCATTGTTCTTAGACTTTGAATGTTCATGGTTTTATGAATAATGAGGATTTTCTTCTGAATGTTGCGCAAGAAAAAAGAGGAGATCATAATCGTTTTTTAGACAGTATCAAATCTGGCGATCGATTGAACTCGAAGAAAGGAACGTCACAATTAAGTATAAATAATCTCCCGATTTGTTTCTCATATGACCTCGGTACTTGTGAACGTGTTAACAGCACACGAAGACACTAGCACGTCGGCTGCCGAGAGCAAGCAAGCACCAAAAGCCATCCATCAGCTAGAGAGGACATTGGCTGTCGTAAAACGTACTTGAGTGGTGTAGGTTGTTTGTGACCTGTCAGATATATCGGCAGCGGCGGTTTGTGGCGGTCACTGTCCATGTTGTTCGTTCCACAGTTGTGTTTTCAACGCTTAGAACTCGCAAGTTCATCTTCGCTGATTTCGCCGAAACTAAGGCTGACCGAAAGCTTAATCTGGAAAACGAATACAACCACCGAGCGTGAGTATTTCCGAACTCCTTGTGGCAACGGTGTGATAGCCGTCCTACCCTCGGATCTTGTAAGCTACTGGAGGTTAATCACTAATGTAACGGTCATCTATGCTCAGGTGATGATGGGCGAGGGCGCGGGCCGAATGAGCTTTGTCTGAGCCGTGATAACGGCCATCTATGCTGAGATCATAATGGGCGAGGGCGCGGGCCGAATGAGCTTTGTCTGAGCCGTGATAACGGCCATCTATGCTGAGATGATAATGGGCGAGGCCGCGGGCCGAATGAGGATTGTCTGAGCTGTGATAACAGGCTTAGCTCGGAGTTTGAGCGGCCTGGCGCGGACCAGTGCGTGTAACGTTTCCAGTAATGTTGTCATGCTTTCTAGTCCACCCAGCCACACTCTTAAAACTAGTCATTTTGCAGTCACTAGTGTCAAGATCATGCAGCTTCAGCAACAGGGACAGTATTTACGACAATGTGGCACGTAAATTGTCAGACATTTGCAGCAGGCTAAACACCTTGTTCTCTGCGGGCCTTCGGATTTACGTGAACATAAGAGGCAAGGCAGAATCTTCCCCACTAGACATCCCGAGAATCACCGCTCTGAATTTGAAAATTGTCATTTGATCGAACTCAGCAGGACCTTCATTTTTTTGCCCGAAAAAGAACATGCTTTAAAATTGTAGTTTTAGAGGGCAAGAACTCGTAAATTTGTGGATGTATTTGGTAGGCCACCACTTGTATATTCAAACATCAAGTTACATAGCACCAATGTGGGTTAACTTGAAAAACATTCGTATAGTCAACACATAAGTTCGAAACCAAGGCTACAGTCAGCTCTAGGCAGTGCAAGTGAGGGTTTTTAACGATATAATGATATAGCTGTGCTCATTTGCATGAAAAAAAACATCAGATAAAAGTTGGCAGTCCAAGTTGTGACAGGAAGCTCAGTTCAAGTTCAGTTCAGTCTAGTCCAAGTTCAGTCCAAGTTCAGCAGGAAAGGCATGGACTCTCCAGGCTTTTGACGTAAGTTCCTTTACCGAAAATCATCGACCTTCAAGAAGCGAGGAGTTAGGAGAGGAGTTAGGTGAGGAGCTAAGCAAGGAGTTAGGTGAAGGTAGCGTCTGGCTCAAAAGTTGTAAACAATCATTCTTCTCAAAGGTATCGGCCTCCAAAGAAGTTTCTACGTTTTTGTTCTTTTTTCCCACCCATATCACCCTGAAGTGTATTATTACCATCCTGGTTGTTTTTTAACTATGCGATCATCCTTGGCCAAAGCAGTTCAAACTTTACCATACGGTTGGAACCTCAATTGCCTGTATCTTACAGATTTGAAAGGCCTTTCTGATGATTTTCCCTCATTGGCGTGGCACGTTTAGTTCTTAATGCAGCCCGAATGGCTAATGCACCAATAGCCTCTACTTTTCGATGTGATGTGGCACGTCACACTTAACATCTGTTGGCTATTGATTTTAAAGAACTATTCAATGCTATCATCTGCATAGTCGTAGCATGCCTGGGTCTTGAGATAACAGGAGAGGGCGCTGAAGTGCTTATCTGAGCCAAGGCCTTTGATATTACCAGGTAGTCATCTACATTTGTCACTACGGCGAATGCGTAGCAAGAGGATGTGATTGACGTTACAAGCCGGGAGCAGTTGAATCAGTATAAAAACTGCACATGCAGCAAGTCCACTCAAAAACCTTGCTTCGCAACTTGTTACCATGACTGTTCCTTGTAGCCTCAATGACGCCATCGAGCGTCCTTGTGGTAAGAACAACAAACACACGTATTTGGTAGCGCTATCAAATACGCATATTCGTTCGATGAGACCTGAGACATCTCTCGCTGCTTCAGGCCTGATCTGACCCCTTTGACGTCAGTTGACCCATGACAGATTTCAATCACGACTACAAATTACAACTGATAACGACAACTAACAGCACTAAGCTCAATTAAACAAACCATGAATGTTAGGAGTCATACCCGTGAAGCTTGTGCGCGTGCTGCTTTATCTGCCGCGTTGGCCGTGAAAGGGCGGATTGTGCAGTTGTGTCATAGGCAAATGGCATTGGGGCCATTCCACGCCAACTAAACCAGTAATAGTTAAATTTTGCATGCGACCACTGCATATCTGGACAACATTGGCTATGGTGGGTTATTTTGTGCTCCGACCACGATTCTGAGGCAACCTCCACACCTAGCCGCTTTTCGTTGATGATGACTGCAGAGCATGAGGCAACGACGGAAATGCGCTATGTAAAACGCCATGACTCCGCAATCATAGCACGTATTTTCTTTCAGAAAACAGCGTGACATAGTCCATACAATGCCCTAGCTGACAATATAAAGGAGAGTTAAATTACTTGTATCAGGATTGAACTGTCCTGTTTTGATAATAAACGAACTTGATTTCCAAGTTGATAGCATCTTTGATTTGTTAGACCTCCTGATTTTCGAAAACGCTGTTGAGTTGTTTGTCGGCTACCGTCGATAGAAAAGTGGAGACTTGGTTTACACTGGCACTGCGCGGACGAGATCATAGACAGGTGGAGCGGTGCGGAGCGGCACCCCTGGCTGGGCGATCCCGGGCGCCATCCAGCCGGCTGCCGGCCGGCCCGTCCCGCAGGCGGAGCGGCACCCCTGGCTGGCTGATCCCGGGCACCATCCAGCCGGCTGCCGGCCGGCTCGTCCCGCGCCCATACTACCACCAGTTGTCGCCCCCCACCCGTGTCGGTTCAGAGTGACGACTCCAGACGGCTGGAATCACCGCTTAAAAGATGACCGTATCGCGGCTACCAGCTTTCCCACCAGCTCTAATGGCATCGGTCACACCAGCTGTGGCTGGCAGCGCCGCGAGCTTTGTCTGTAGTTGCAGTCCTACGTGCAGAGGGATTATGAGGCATTCGTGCATTTCAAAAGGGAAGGTTCGCGTATGTAACAGAAACACGTGTATGACCTCCATCGTGCGTTTCGGCTGTGGGTGGACTCAAAATGTGCACTGAAACGAACAAGATATTCGTTGATATGAGTTGGCACTTCTTATTCTGAATATAGTCGACCTTCAGTTTAGCGAAGTGCACCTACCGGTAAATGGACATAATCAACCAGGTTCTACCTCCACTGGCACTACTCCTCGCTTCAAACATATTCCATGGTCTCGAGAGAACAATGCGAAACAGAGCGATGATAACTACATTAAAGCTCATTGTGGTTGCAGTATAAAAGTGATCGTGAAGTCTGTTTCTTTGAAGTTTTCCTGTGGGTTGAAGCCGGAATTTTTAGCTGATTCGTTGCTGATATGACTCAACCAGTGTAAGTAACAGCATGTCTTAAAGGAAATGTTCAACATTCCAGGATGAAAGATGGGTATTACCCCTTTAACCGTCGTCCTACTAGGGGGTCGATACGATCCCTCCCTCACCCCGGTTTTTAAAGATACCACTCCGGCATGGTACGCAATCGCGACCAACTTTGTATGGAACACTCATTGCTCGTGTTATGACACCAATAGCGTGTTCTTAGCTTTTATGGTGTTGGAGCAGCGGCAGTTTTTGTGGAGCACTGCACGGTGATCTACGGCCTGAGCGAGCGGGCGAGCGGGCGGGTAGGCGGAGACCGACGGTGCCGCGGAACGCGCGCGCCGGACTCACATCGTTACATTAGTGGAGCCATATATCATAAACAAATGCTCAAAATACATCAACATATAAACCATTGTACTCAAAGAAGAACAAAGAGTGCGCCTGTTTAGGTTTCGTGTCGCCATAAGGTATGATCTCGTATGTAAGATGTAAAGCTGAACAGTGCGATTTTCTGGAAAATTTGACTTTTGCCTTGGCGTAATGGGGTCAATTGTTAACCTGAAAACATACAACATGATGCCAATCGCGAGATACTTTTAAGACGAATCCACTGGTGTTTTTCACTAAGCTGTAACTTAATTGTGCTGGAAACGCCAGGGAGTCATATCTAGGGTTGATATTGTGACAGCGAGCATGCTGACTCAAACGTCCACAGTAACACGCAGGTGGCATTCTATCAAAATGCATGTCTTATATGGGCTTTTATGAAGTCCATAAAGTGGCCAATTTCCTGAACCGCCGTCCAAAGTATCGATCCCACCAAAATCAATATACAAATAGAGCATCGTTCCTTATTCGGAATCGTAGTCGACTGCAAATTGTGCTGCGTTGCTCCGATTCGAACCCGCAATCTGCTGCTTGCATTGAACAAATCTTGACAGAATCGATTCGACTTGAAATCAAGTCAAGCACAGGTCTGTGTGGTACTTTTGTATGGGTATGCGTGTGCAGTTATTTGTGTTGCGGGGCTGACCGAGTTAGGAGAAGAGTGCGTCGCTGGTTTTGACATCT